CTTACAAGGAATCCAGCAATGTCAATTATATTATCCAAACTTTAGTTTGAGGTATTATTTATTACTAAAAAGGTAAATATTCTGGTTTTCCCACACGTCTGGTAGGGAGGGACCGACCGACCATCTGGCCCGGTGTGAAGAATATTTTTTTTTTTTATTAACTGAAGATATTTGTTTTAGCTCATAAAATTCATACAAATTACCCGGCCAGAATATAATTTACATTGCTGGAATTCTTACAATTTGATGATCATCTTGAATATAAACATCATAGATTTTGCATTAGACATACAAATTTTAGATATAATGTTTACTCTGAGTAAATATGTTATCTTTTGTGCAAAATATATGACATTTATACCGTATATCTCGGCTTATAAGACGGAATTTGAACATTAAAAAAATCTGCCCAAAGTTAGGGGGTCGTCTAAACCACCAAGTAAAAAAATTCTTACCTCTTAAATATTGTGGTTTAGTGTGTACGGAGTGGTGATGGAAACATCGTAAGCCACTCACAAGGTCTTACCACTAATTATTTTATACTGAAACTTACGTTTGGCAAGCTGGATTCAAATTAAGATTATCGGTATATTAAAATAATAAAAATGTATTATAAACCTGTCTAACATACCGTAAAAGAGAATTATACCCCTGTAATAAACACAGCTATCATCACACACCCCTCCCCACGCCCCCCCCATTTGCCAGTGAGGAGACAAGAAAGGAAAAGTGACCGCGAGATTGGGCTATTTTTAGCCATGGAGGTGGTCAGTAATGCATATCGGTATATTTACTGATAATAATACTTATCTCCTATAAATAATTAATTTAAAATTATTTTTTTACAAGGAATATTCAGTAAATGACTGCATTAATTCTTGAAACTACTGACAGTTAAATACAGACGCTTAAAAGACGTCACTAGTGTTTTCACTACACTAGCTGGTAACATTTGATGCCATTACTTGAAGTGAATTGGCCTTATTTTAAGAAACTATTTATCACTACACGTCAAAGAGTACATTACAAATCATACTTGCATAAAAACACACTGAGTGATGCTCTGTAATTATCGCAATATTAAGTAACACTAACCACCGATTTCGAAGCATAACTCACGGGACAACATATGGGGATTGGTGGTCACACTGGACGGTGCGAGGCGGGTGAGGCGTAGTTAAGTGTAGTGGGGAAGAGGCGAGGCGTGGTTGATCGGGCCAGGCCGGGGCTTTGCGGGGCGGGGCACGGAACGGCGGAGCGGGGCAGGGATGGGAGGAAGGGTAAGGTGGGTGAGGTGAGGATTAGGACAGGGAGGAGGATGTAGGTTAAAAGACATGTTAAGTTATAACAGTTAGTACAGACACCGCTTTCATCACTGAAACATTCCTTTGTCGCAAAACAAGTTTATAAATTAAAGAAAATAATTACAGTGTGTTTAATATATTACAGTATATTATAAATAAATAAACAAATAATTCGGTAAATCTATTTCAAGTAAATGGAAAATAAGCAAACAAATGTTATTTACCAAGACGCTTCCCTCTGGCTCAGGGTGAGATGTAGGGGTAGATAACAAGGCTATTTATAGCCCGTCTTTGTGTCTGAAGTGGCCAGTACCCTAATGCACCATAAATAATTCATTGAACATTCATTTTTTGTACATAGTATATTCAGTACATATATATATATATATATATATATATATATATATATATATATATATATATATATATATATATATATATATATATATATATATATATATATATATACAGTTGTACCCCACTTAACGCGGTCAATTGAACCCAGAGGGTCCCGCGTTAAGTGAAAACCGCGTTAAGTGAATAACAGAACATATGGGATTAATTCCAATAGAACCCAGCCCGACCCCCAAACTCCACTTTTTGACGACAAATAACTATGTTGTAGTAAAAATAACATCTTAATTTTATGATGGTACATGCACACAATTAATACTTAAGAGAAATAGAGAAATACAGTCGCCAAGTTAATGTCCATTCAAATAATGGACTCAACTCCCTCCCCCTCTTCTCACACTACACTCACTGGCTCTTCCCTCTGAGAAATTTTTGGGGGAAAACCAGGTATAGTAATAAATAATTCCTCAAACTAAAGTTAGGATAATATAATTGACATTGCTGGATTCCTTGTAAGACCAGGAATATTTTGAATATAAATGTCATATATTTTTCACAAAAGATAACATATTTACTCAGAATAAACTTTACATCTAAAATTTGTATGTCTAATGCAAAATCTATGATGTTTATATTCAAAATGATCAGCAAATTGTAAGAATTCCAGCAATGTAAATTATATTCTGGCCGGATAATTTGTATGAATTTTATGAGCTAAAACAAATATCTTCAGTTAATAAAAAAAAAAAAATATTCTTCGACACTATCTGTCAATCAAAGTACCCCACCTTGCCTTCCCCCCCTCTTCCAACCGCGTGGTCAGTCCCAACCCTCCCCCCACCCCCCACCAATCCTCCATTCAAGAGTTTTTAACATTTAGTATTAAATAATACCTCAGATTAAAGTTAGGATAATATAATTGACATTGCTGGATTCCTTGTAAGACCAGGAATATTTTGAATATAAATGTCATATATTTTGGACAAAAGATAACATAATTACCTAGAGAAAAATTTTTATCTAAAAATTGTATGTTTAATGCAAAATATATGTTGTTTATATTCAAAATGATCACCAAATTATAAGAATTCCAGCAATGTAAATTATATTCTGACCGGGTAATTTGTATGAATTTTATGAGCTAAAACAAATATCTTCAGTTTAAAAAAAAAATAATTCTTCACGGGTAACAGATGGTCGGTCGGTCCCTCCCTCCCCCCCACCCCCCACCAACCGTCCCAAGGAGATGTGTGGGATAACCACTAAATTTTAATAAATAATACCTCAAACTAAAGTTAGGATAATATAATTGACATTGCTGGATTCCTTGTAAGACCAGGAATATTTTGAATATAAATGTCATATATTTTGCACAAAAGATAACATAATTACCTAGAGAACAATTTTTATCTAAAAATTGTATGTTTAATGCAAAATATATGTTGTTTATATTCAAAATGATCACCAAATTATAAGAATTCCAGCAATGTAAATTATATTCTGGCTGGGTAATTTGTATGAATTTTATGAGCTAAAACAGGCAGTCAGGCAGGGTGGTGGGTGGTGCGAATCTAAAAATAGCTCTCGAGCCGGACACTCACCGCGTATATGATGAAAAATGCCGCGTTAAGTGAAAGTTCAGCTTTGGCAAGGCACCGCGTATATGCGAAAACGCGTTAAGTGAAAGCGCGTTAAGCGGGGTAATACTGTATATATATATATATATATATATATATATATATATATATATATATATATATATATATATATATATATATATATATATATATATATATATATATATATATATATATATATATATATATATATATATATATATATATATATATATATATATATATATATATAAATCACTGTAGGTGTGATCTGGTATATGCTGATAACCACAACAAGAAGAAAACTAGTCTGTACTCACCCTGAAGATGTGAATTACACAGCGCTTGGGAACTTCTTTCTCTTTTCTTGTGGTTATCAGCATATATATATATATATATATATATATATATATATATATATATATATATATATATATATATATATATATATATATATATATATATATATATATATATATATATATATATATATATATATATATATATATATATATATATATATATATATATATATATATATATATATATGTTTGTGTAATAAATGTATGTAGTAAATACATACCGGTAACCTTTTTCACTCAAATCCTAATGAAACACCACAATTAGAATACCGTGGTTGCTGTTGAACTACCTGTTGTATAAATAGTCGGAACACAGTCACACCACCGAGACGAGGGAACACTCCCACCACCGATCGTCTCGGGCGAAGCAAGCGTATAAATGAAAGAAAATACTTGCAGTGTGTTTAATATGTTACAGTATATTATAAATAAATAAATAAACAAATAAATCGGTAAATCCATTTCAAGTAAATGGAAAAATTTTACTCGACACCGACATTAGTTCCAGTTACCGGTAAATAGCAGACGCTTCAGTGACGTCACTAGTGTTTACACTACACCAGCGGGTAATATTTGATGACATTACTTGAAGTGAATTGGCCTTATTTTAAAAAACCAAGGATGGTTGGTAAAGGACTACTGAGTCAGTGGGTAAGTGTCACATTTGGGGTACTGGTCTTATACAGCAAATAGAGCTCAAAAGCTACTTTTTAAATGGAAATTTGGGGGGCCGTCTTATGCACCCCGACGCCTTATAGGCCGCGATATACGGTATTCAAAATATTCCTGGTCTTACAAGGAATCCAGCAATGTCAATTATATTATCCTAACTTTAGTTTGAGGTATTATTTATTAAAATCCAGTGGTTTTCCCCCAAAAAATTTCTCAGAGAGGGAAGAGCCAGCAGTGTAGTGTGAGAAGAGGGGGAGGGAGTTGAGTCCATTATTTGAATGGACATTAACTTGGCGACTGTATTTCTCTATTTCTCTTAAGTATTAATTGTGTGCATGTACCATCATAAAATTAAGATGTTATTTTTACTAGAACATAGGTATTGTGTCGGAAAAAGTAGAGTTTGGGGGTCGGGCCAGTCTCTATTGGAATTAATCCCATATGTTCTGTTGTTCACTTAACGCGGTTTTCACTTAACACAGTACCCTGTGGGTTCAATTGACCGCGTTAAGCGGGGTACGACTGTATACAAAATGCCTGAGTAAAAACTGTACTGCATTAAAGAAAAATATTGGAATTTTCTGCTCTGAGATCTACTATGATCTCATAATTAAAAAAAAAGAGCAAACACACTACACATTAACTGGTAAAGGAAATACTCAAGCTAAAAAGTACAGGTACATGATACTTACAGCAATATCTTCCTCAGTGAAAGTTTCAGGATCTTCACCCATCATGTTAGCTAGATGACGACGACCAATCTCATACTCCCCAATTTGTTCAAACATAAATTTATCTATGGAGAGATAAAGTAGTACAGTAATAATAATAATAATAATTTACGGTTTATTGAAAGAGCATGGCAGCCGGAAGGCTGAAAATACACAATTACATAATTGGCGAATGGGTCTCTTGATTTACAATGATGTATAAGTAACATAAGTGATACAAATTATGATATATAATAATTAGGTGTTGATAATTTTTACAATGGTTGGGATTGGGCTGTTCTTGTAGCAATCAGTTCGAACTCATATGGGCTGGATGCGGTTGGGCATCATAAACAGCTTCAGCAACAACTTCAGGTTCAGTAACAGTTTCAGCAACAGCAATGGCATCTTTATGGAAAGCTTTAGCTTCAGTCAAAGTTGAACCTGATTGACGAAATCACTTGAGTAAAAATTCGCACAATATTCATTGGCTGTCCTTATGTTTTCGACTTTACCACCATTTGTGAGTAGAATTTTGGTTTTACATTCGTAAGTATTATTTAAAACATATATGAACAGTAATAAGTGTTGCTTTCATATTCTTATGTAGAGAAGTGACGATGTTTTCACACGTACAGTGATCCTTCAGTTAACGAATACCTCGGTTAACGAAATTTCGGTTAACGAATTACCTTCCATAAGATTCTTCACTTCGGTTAACGAAAAAATTTCGGTTAACGAATTCCTTACGAATTTTTCCCAACATGTGTTCGCTTACTTTCGGCTCCTCACCAGCTGTAGTATTAGTCAGCCAATACAGTAATCGGTTCTAGGGCTTAAATTTGTTACCATTTTAGTAAATACAGGTGCTCCCCAACTTATGACGGGGTTAGGGACCCAAATCCAGGTCGTAAGTAAGACTGGTCGTAAGTCCGACATAGATAAAAAACTGAAATTTTTTTTTCTTTTCAAAAATTAAAAAAATAAATAAATAAAAAATCTACAATGAAATACAGTACAGTATAAGTAATAAATAATGAGGAATGGATACAGCGTGACTGAGCACTTACCTTTAATGTAGTCAGCTGAATGCACACGGGGCCCCCCATAATTTTCTATTTACAGGATACATGGAGACTATATTAATTGGATGAAGCAGAGGAGGAGACAGGGCTGGGTGGGTCATCAATGTCGCTTTCTTCAGACAGGTTTATGTACTGTGGAAACTTGCTGGTTGAAGGTATTGGATCATCTTGAGGGAGTGAAGAGGCAGCACTGGTGGGGTGTGAGGAGACAGCACTGGGGGACTTCTTAAAATAGATGTCCAATTTAGACTGCACAGTTTGCTTTTTCTTTTCATTATAAATTTCTCTGTAGCAAGCACGTGCATCTTGGATCGTTCTGTCAACTTTGGCATAACACTCATAATTTTGATCCATGTCATCAAACATTTGCATTCCTTTATTAATTGTAGCAAATGCCTCTGCCATATGTTTCACTGAAAACTTTTTGGGGGGGATGCAGGTTGTTCTTCTACATTTTGTCTCTCTTCTTCCTCTGCAATTTTCTGTGCATCTAGTTCAATAAGATCCTCGTTACTGAGCTCTTCTGCTACACTTTCAACCAACTGTCCAACATCTTCAGTATCAATTTCTAACTCCAGCTGTTTACCTAACTCCACTATCTTGTTACTAATATCCGAAATAACTTCATTTTCATTAAATCCTTTGAAACTGTGCACATATCTTTTCAGGATTTTCTTCCATATTCCATTCATGCAATGTTTTGTAACCTGATCCCATGCTGCACTAATGTTCTTTATACATGACAAAACGTTGTACTCCTTCCAAAACTCTCTGAGCATTTTCTCACCTTCAGTAGCAGCAACAGCCTGAGCGAAGGTCATGCGTAAATAATACGCTTTAAAGGCAGCAATAGCACCTTGATCCATGGGTTGGATGATAGAGGTAGTGTTAGGTGGAATGTACACTACCTTAACATCAGGGTGCATGTCGTCCAGGTGTGGTGGGTGTCCCGGAGCATTATCCAAAATCAGCAAAATCTTGAATGGAATCCATTGTTGCAGACAATACTCCTTGGCTCGTGGAATGAAACAAGTCATGAACCAATCCTCAAACAGTGCTAAGGTCATCCAGGCTTTCTTATTACTGCGATAAAACACTGGCAGTGTGTGCTTGCTGACATGTTTTAAAGCCCTGGGGTTCTCTGAATGATAGATCATGAAGGGCTTTAGCTTGAAACCAGCAACATTCCCCCCACCCCCCCAACAGAAGTGTAATTCTGTCCTTGAATGCCTTGAATCCTGGCATTGTTTTCGCCTCTTTGTGGATGTATGTCTGCTCAGGCATGCGCTTCCACAATAATCCAGTCTCATCCACATTGAATATTTGCTCAAAGGCAAATAATTCCCTTCCACAATCACTTCATCTAACTCCTCCTTGAAAGTTTCGGCAGCACCAACATCGGTACTAACTGCCTCTCCACTCACCTTAACATTGTGTAGACTGTAGCGTTTTTTAAATCTATCAAACCACCCATGACTTCCTGTAAAGGTTTGATGGCATTCATCTCCTGCCTGCTCCTTCAGGCTTTGGAACAGGCTTCTTGCTTTAGCCTGTATGGTTAGAAGGCTTAAGGGTACACGCTTCTGTATCTGGTCTTCCATCCATATCACCAATAATTTTTCCATATTGTGAATAGGACCTTGTCTTTTCTTTGATATTATAGTTCCCTTTATAGGTGTTGTTCCTTTCACTACTTCACGAATACATTCCTTGTCCTTCAGAATAGTGGATATGGTCGAGTGTGGGAAACCTAGGTCACGTGAGAGTGTTGCTACTGTTTTACCATTCTCATGCTGTGTTATTATCTTCATTTTCATCTCAAAAGTAATTGCCTGTCTCCTTTTCTTTGGAACACCACCAGCACTTTCACTTTAACGCTTTCCAGTCATTATAAAGTCAATTAAATACGATAATAATGAAAGTTCACAGTGCGATCAGTATAGGATACGATAGCCAAACACCAACTAAGCACTCCACTGAGTGAGTGTACCCACGCGGTGACCCAAGCCCGCCACACTCTCGCCCGGGACAGAAACGTTTCAGTATAGAAAATGCGTGCGTCATTTGAAAATATTTTTGGTCACGACTGCCGAGGTCATTTGTCCCGACGGTCGTAAGGTCAGAGCAGGTCATAAGTACCGATGGACGCAAGTCCAAGCAGTCATAAGTATGGGAGCACCTGCTATCAAGAAGGTTGTACTATTCAATTATTTTAAAAGTTTTATATTAAATTTTTTAGTCATTTTAACAATTACTGAACATAATTGAAGTACAGGAAACTAGTTTTTCGCACGCCAAACAGCCACTCAACAAACCAAGCTTGGCGTCAGTTTGTGTATCTATTCAGTAGAAGGAACATCTTGTTTGAGACTCTCTTCAACATAAACTCTTTTTTTCCATTTTTACAGTCAAATTATTGGTCATTTTGAAATATATTTTACATATTGATAATATATAGTGCAGTGTAGTGTTTATTTCAAGAAAATGTTCTTTATTTACAGCAATACAACTTAAAATTTCAGTGTTGAAATCGAATCCAGCATGGCTCCAAAGCAATCGAGACAAGTTATTTCAATCCAGGTAAAACAGGAAATAAAAAAGAAACATGAACAGGGCATTAGAACAAAAGTGCTTAGTAAAGACTTTGGCATGTCAGTTTAATCAGTATCAACTGTGTCGACAATTCTTGCACAGGAAGACAAGTTTAAGGAAGTGAAAGTGAGAGACAAATCTACCATACTGTTTGAAGGTAGATCATTGATATCAGAAACAGAGAGGTTACTTCTCATTTGGATCAGGGAAAAGCAAATGAAAGGTGATTCAGTTTCTACAGAATTTATTTGTGAAAGAGCCAGGGAGATTTACGAACATTTAAAGGAAGATCAACCTGGTTCTTCTGGCACAGAGTTTGAAGATTTTTGGGCAAGCAAGGGCTGGTTTGAAAAATTTAAGAAAAGAAGTGACTTTTCAGTGTTATTAGGCATGGTGAGGCTGCAAGTGCAGACAAAGAAGGAGCAGCAAAGTTTGTAGTGAACTTTAAGAAACTGGTGGATGAAGAAAATTATCTTCCACAGTAAGTGTTCAATGTGGACGAAACTGGGCTGTTCTGGAAGAAAATGCTCAAAAGGACATTCATCACCAGAGATGAAGCCTCTTTACCTGGGCATAAACCCATGAAGGACCGACTCACTCTATTGCTTGGTGCCAATGCTTCAGGGGATTTCCGACTGAAGCCTATGCTTTTCTACCACTCTGAGAACCCCAGGGTGTTCAAACAACAAAAAGTGGTAAGAGGAAAGCTTGGAGTTTATTGGAAGTCCAACCGTAAAGCATGGGTGACAAGACAGCTCTTTAATGAATGGGCAGTTGAGGTGTTTTGTCCTTCTGTGAAGAGCTACCTAACCACCAATAAACTCCCTTTTACAGGCTCTTCCCCTTATGGATAATGCCCCTGGTCATGACCTTGAACTTGCCAGCACTTTGGAGGCTCAATTTGACTTTGTCAAAGTGTTGTTTTTGCCTCCCAACACTACATCAATCATGCAGCCAATGGATCAGAATGTGATCAGCAACTTCAAGAAGTTGTATATGAAGAAAATGTTCAGGAGGTGTTATCAGGCAACTTCCACTGATCCTGAACTAACACTGGCACAGTTCTGGAAGACACAATTTAACATCCTGGAGTCTGTAAAATTGATTGTGTCCTCATGGCGAGAAGTCTCCATTAAATCCCTCAATTTTGCATGGAAAGCACTGTGGCCATCAGCAGTTCATGATTTTGAGGGATTTGAAGAAGAAGCAGAGTTGGACAAGGAGATTGTGTCCATTGGTCAGTCATTGGGCCTCGAAGTGGAGGAGGTTGATGTAGAAGAGCTTGTGATGTCTCATGAGCAGGAACTTACTCCTGATGACTTGCAGCAACTGGATGAGATGTTGGAGGCTGACAGTGGTGAAGAGGAAAGGGAATGTGATGACCATATGTCTACCTCAGAATTGAAAGA